CAACTTCACTGATTTTCTTATTGCTCTCAGACATCCCACTGCTACTTGCTTCGTCACCTGATGTTTTCGGATTTGTTCTTTTGGGACTGGAAGCACTGCCAGCAATGAATGAACAAACTGTTGTAGACTTACTTCTACATGAAGCTGGTGTCTGAGAAGAAACTTTCTTAGAATCTAATTCTCTTGACATCAAAGCACCGATTGTACCAGTCATTCCAACTTTAATAGAGCCTCCACTACCCTTGATCGCTTCCAATGTCTGAACCATTTTTTAACCTGATTTTCTAGGATCGTCTTAGCAGATATCACATTCAATCTTGTGAAGCAGAAGCAACTATTACATGAGCAAAAAAACGCAAAAGTTTGAGTGCATTGAGATAGGCTTATATAGAAACTGAATTACCATACACTATCACAAACAACAGTTCAAAGAGCTAAGGAGAATGTGGCGTGTATTTTCTCCAAACAAATGATAATAACCTAAATTCATTGGATCAAACACGAATGCAGAGAAGCATCTATTATATCTACGATGAAAAAACTCAGTTAGAACATATAGTCACTGGCAGATAGATAGAACACACTACTCATTTGCCTACAAGTTCCACTAAAATATCCATGAAGCTTCTTGAAACTCAAAGATCACAGCTCATAGATAGCCAAAATAGATTCTTTGCGCGGGTAGTACACAGGTGGAAGAAACTAGTATTTCATTATCCACACCCTGGTGATCTCCAAAACCACATGTGGCATTGTAATTACTAATACCTATAGCCCACATACGGGTGTGCAGGTAGAAAATGGAAGACTAGTACCGATTTACACCCATCATTACAAAAGGAAGGTTGAGAAGTATAAGTACGGCCCTTGGCCTAACCCAATCCTCACTCTACCACAACAACTACGCCTAAGTCCAAACAAGTTGAGGTCGGGCTATATGCATCCTCATCGATGCACCACCTCCCAGCCACAAACTTCTTATACAAATAAAAGAAACATTGAAACGAAAAGCCCCCCAAAAGAGGAAAAAAGAATCACATTTTGCATCTACATTCCTCAAAACAGATAAGAGTTACCTTAAAGCCCATTTGAAGAACAGAGACATTACAAGTGGATACAATCAAGCTAAAAGGAAAACAACATTCAAGCTTTCTTGCACCCAGGATGCGGCCTACTAGTCAATGAAGTGGTTGAGAATCATGACGTCTCAGGTTCAAATCTCAACACAAACAAACAAAAAATTAGGTGATTTCCTCCCATCTGTCCTAACCTGGTGGACAAAGTTACCTAGTATTCGATGGAATTAATCGAGGTGCGTGAAAGCTATCTGAACACTACAATTATTGAAAAAGATTCAAACTTTCTTAACTACCTTTATTACATACTACACCTAGATACAACCAAATCAATAGAAAATGGCAAAGCAGTTAACAAAATCATCAAAAGTATTGCTCAAAGACTCATAAATCCCAAATAGTAAAAAACCTAAAATTGGAGTAGAGAAAGTATAAAATTTCAAAAAACAAATGAATCATAGATCTAAACTAAATGATGAAAATGTGGTTAAGGTAAATCTCAACTAAATAAGAAACTAATTTGAAATTCAAAAGTTTACCAGGAAAAGAGTGGATTGGAGCTCTCAAAAATATCAACAAAGCCCAGAATTACAGATATGAAATAGAAAGCAGAATTATAGTGATTGTCATGTGTTTTTTGTCACTTTCGAAGATATGTTGATTGTAGTATAATAATAATGATAACTACTAGTCTACTACTGGGCCTCTTTACTATAACAATGTATGTTTCAAGTCAAACAAAGAAGCTCTACCTGGGACATATGATATGACATGTTAAAATGGCCCTTAATTTCTTGCTTACGCGCCTTTTCATTCAAATTTTGAAAATTGCACAAAAACGCTAGGCTAATTTATGAGAGTAGGTTCATTTTAATTGAGTGTGTTTGGTATGTTTTCTAATTTCTTCACGTTTGGTTGACATAAATATTTTCTAAATCAATTTATTTTCCTCAAATTTAAGAAAAAAGAGTTACCTCCAAAAAATAATGAAAACATTTTCCAAAAGTCTTTTTCAACTTCACACCTCAACTTTTAATACTAAGGGCCCATTTAGCCATGCGATATGGTATCATAATATGGTATCATGATATGGAACCATGAGATGAAATTGAAGTTTTGTTTGGACATGCGATATGAAATTTTTGTGTTGTATATTTTCTCATAAACATAAAAATCTCATAAGTTGTAAAACTATTAAAATAGTCTCAATTGTTTATTCAATCTTATCAAATAAATAAAAGGGATAATTTCAGAGACCTCCCTCCAGGTTTTGCTCTATTTCGCTAACTTTCCTTGTGGTTTATGTTATTACGTATACCTCCCTTATTTTGATTTTCTTGTAACCATTCTTTAAATCTATTTAAAATAAACATAAATAAAATAGAATATGACTAATTTATCCTTTATCTAATGTTAAATTTATTTTATTACTTAATTTATGAATATCTTTTTTAATAAAGGAAAACTATTATAAATTTTAAACACTTTCTAGTATGTGATACATACATAATTGAACCCTCGTTAATTTTTTATAACATTATTTTTTGTACCCACTAAAGAAAATGCCTGCAATTATTCTTTTCTTTTCATCTTTTTTCATATTGATGACTTCTTCATTCTATTTGTTCTCATAATAAATTATTACAAAGCTATTTGTTCTCCACTTAAGTAATTGTTTCATCTAACTTTAATTTAATTAATTAAAAAATTGAACATAAATTGTAGTGTACTAGTCTTTAATATAATCCTCCCACATAGTACGAACAATTT